AACGTTTACTTTGTTTCCACATGAAATTAGGAAATAATCCTTGCCCGTTCCAAGTGACTTTTGACGAGTGATGGACAACACCCTTCCAGAGGCTGCGTACGGAAACCTTTGCTGACCACAGCCTGCTGTTTGTGGACAGCATTACTTAAAACACAGAACACGCACACCATGTGTTTTACAAGCGAGTCCACCCCACCTCTTTGCATAGGTGCTTTGGGGTAAACGTACCTCTACCTTACTACCCGTTTTCCCTACCCTTGTGTCCAGCCTTAGCTGCACACAGGCCCGTACTCACCTCCCTCTTGTAACTGTCCCTTTTCCATCCTGAAGCCAGCTTGCCTCTGGCACTTGGCAGGCTGCGATGTCGGGCAGGAATGAGGTTGGGTGTGTTGTTCTAGAGGAGCAGATTCAGACTGCAAACTACAGGTTGGCCCTGCAAGCTCTAGGTGCACTGGTTTGGCACATTAACCAGCACATCAGATAACAATTTAAAAGGAAAAATGTATTGTTTTGCCTGACAGTGATGAAAGCATCAAGAGAGCGGCTGTTTGAAAGAAAGAATTTACAAATTTCTATAAATCATTTATGATTGCAAATGAAATGTTGGAAATGTCACCACATTTAAAGTTATACTGTGTTTCCACACCAACTTCCAGCCTCAACTGTACCTTTGTACAGTCCCAGGAAGTTGCAAACAGGAAGATGATCGATTTTCCTTACTGTTTTTATGCCACGTTCAATAGGAATCCAGTAATGGTTCATAATAACAGCACTAGGAAGCAGGAAGATAAAATACCACGAAGAGTAAGAAAGTCCTAGATACTGTGACTCGCTTGTGGCTTCTGGTTTCTTCCTCCGAGACAGAAAAATTCATCAGAAAATTGCTTCTAAGCAATAACCCCCCAAAAACCCTTCATGAGAAATGTGCAGATTTTACCTCTTATCTTTCTGAACTGTCTTTAGGCAGGGAGCAGCCAGCGCAGCAGCTGACAGCACGCCCTGACAGACTGTAGCTCGCTATTTCAAGTCACCCAGCATTACTTTAGAGACAGGGATGGCTTCTTGATGCCCTATGTGAAAATGTTTTGAATGAGCAGTTCTCCACATCAGAAAGCGATAGAATGACTGTATTGTAGAAATCTAAGGAGAAATCCTGTAAATGAGGACCAGAGATTAAAGGATCAGTCACTTCCCCCACACCTAACTAGCTGTTCTTCAGATTATGTGAAGACATAAAATGATATATTGAAATATATACATGAAATTATAGATTCCAGCTGTGTTATCTCTTTGTGGATATAAAAAACTCACCTCAGCGGTATATCAACTTCAAAAGGGTGAGAGCAGGCCAAATCCTTTTGTAAAATCGAGATAAAGCTGCGGTGACTGTGCCAAGTCCCTAAGGATATCAAGTCAGGATGGTATTTATAGTGAGGCACACTATAGTTCACCATTTAAAATGCCATCTTAAAAGCTATGAATTTAAGCCTATTGCTTCTCATAATTTCCTGCTCATCTTAGATCAGCATGAAAGAAAAATTAGGGAGAAAAAAATAGGAAAAAGCACAGAAAGATACCTCTCCATGATCTCCATACAACATTGCATAAAACAGAGTGCGCAGTTCCCCGATCACGGGAAGGTGAATGCTGCAGGCACTCAGACAAGGAGTGGTTTACAACCACTGCCTAAATTACCAGTGTCAAAATACCGTCTAAGCTTTGGTTTTAATTTGGCTCCTGAGAGCTCTATACAAGTGCTTGGTTCATCACTGTGAATTATGGTTTAACATCTCTGGGTTAAATTAGGAAGCAGAAAAGGTAGGGTTTAGCATTAGCATTTCACTGTGCTGAGGGGACTGAGTAAGGAAACACAACTTCCCGTCTTTGCTAATGGATGACCCAGAATTCATTCTCAGCCCCTTCTGCTTGCCTTCACTCACAGCTTGCAAAGCTGTGTTTTAAAGGCTACATAAAGGACAAGAAAATCACACAGCTCATGTACACATCTGCCAGGATGTGCCTAGCTCATCTGCACTTCTACCCCAGCTCTGAAAGATCAGCACCACAAAACTCAAGTTCCGGTTTTGTTTTACCCTTAGCCTCAAAGAGAATAAAATCCAAAGCAGTTCTCCACAACTGCAGACAGGCCTGCGCTAGGAAGCCAAGACAGACACACACCGTTCTCTGAAATCTTATTTTTGCTGGTGTGAAAGCAAGGAATGAACGAGGAAAGCACCAAGCACAGAGGCGGCTGTGCTCCCTCTGCTGGCTCTCCCTGGGGGAAGGCAGCAAGCCTGCACCCACGCCGTGTAGGAGCACATCGAAGTGGAGATTTACCACCCGCTCCTGCGTCTTCAGGTAATTCTAAAGCTGCATGGTGCCGTTTTTGCTAATGCAGGCCCCACTTCGCACATGACAGGAGGAATATAAAGAACACAGCAAAGTGCAACCAGGCAAATTGCAGTCAAATGCATTACCTTCTCCTTACTCCTCAAGCCTTTACAAACATTTACACCTTTGCTTCACAACCTGAACAAATTTGAGAACCTGAGCACAGGTATCAGCACCCTGCAGCCTTCACACACTGCAAGTTAAGGAATGTGGTGTCTGCAAAGCGTTCTCCTGGCTGTCTTTTCACAGGACTTGCATACGGACACAGGAACTTAGAATAGGCTCAAAATTATCTATCAATTCTGGTGCAGAAGTGCAAAAGACGCAATGATTCAGAAGGCACACATTTTTCTAGGCTGGTGTTTAGAAATTAAAGCAATACTCATTCATTTTACCTTCTAAACAGGGCTCGGCTGGGAATGCCGAGACGCACAAGAAGCACACGTGATGATTACAGCTCTCTGGCACAGACACAAGTATATTCCTCTCTGTGTGTGCACCTCTTGCCAAACCAAGGCACAAGTGCTTCTCTGGTAGGATTTGATTGTGTACAAACATTTGTCCAGAGCTGCAGTCCAGGTTCTCACGTGGGCTCTACTTCTTGTACGTTTTCAGCGGGGCCAAGTGAAAATACTTTGCAAATATCATTAGGTTATGGTACTCTCTGTAGAGCTTTCCGAGTTCAATTCATTCGATACAAAACATACCCTTAAGAACAGAGATGCATCAGTGCAAACATCCCATGTGCACCAGGGCGTATGGGGTTCTTTGTTGCCAGACACTTTTCTAATTTGCATTTCTAACATTTGTCCCCAGGCAAAAGCAGCCATGATTTACAGAAGACAAACGCAAAAACTCCCCAAATGACCCAGCTAACATCCTAAATCCCAAACCAATACAGAAAAGTACAGGGTAGCTGTTTTCACAAATCCGTGAGTAGCAGGGTATCGTGATACGTTCTTGTTTTCCATCCACCACCTATTCCTCACCACTGGATTAGACAGCTCAGTTAAAACTCGTAAATGAACACGATAAAGAACGCTAGCCTGGTTTTCACATTTTGCAGCCCGCTGACTTTACCAACGGATCTGATGGATAATGCAACTGCATTCCTGGAAGGCATTTCTCTATTTCCAAGCCCATGTTTCCTTTCAGCCTCAGCAGTCTAGTTCAATGTCAAATACACTCACTGTAGCACTTGATTTGTTTTGCTCTTTTCCAGCAACAGAGAGGAAAATCTCCGCAGTGGATAACACACGACACAGGCAGATTCACTGAATGCAGTCAATATATTACTGCTCTTGAATATGACACATGTTGTGAAATCTCCGATACTTATATACATACGAAAAGGTTTGTATTTAAGCCCCAGGACAGAATCCAGTTCTCAATACAAGAAACAGCAGGAACTGAACATGAAACCTTTCCAGATACACTTCTGTATCTTGCGTAACCTCCTGAGAGTAAAGAACGGCATGGAAAAAGACCAATACACTTACACTGAGGAGTGGAAACAGCTTCGCTTTTTAATGCAAGTGTCGTTTAAGGACATGCGATACTTGAATCACTGGAGGCCTGTCCGTGATTTGAACATGAATTGATTCACGCCCTTGTTGAAACAGTAAAGGATGTTCCTTGGTTGTGTCCCTGCACTAATAGCTTATACATATGCTCAAATGCTCAACATTAGTTATGTCCATTAACGTGTTGTATCTCTCACCACAATTTGAGTCATCTGCTAGCGACTGTGGTACCTCACAGCATCTCTAATGATGCAATTTGAGACTCATAAATTATATAACGTAAAAGACCAACTGCTGAGATGCTGTGTTGTTCAGTGAGACCGGTTCAGTCACACAAATGAGAGACAGTCTTCCCCAAAAACGTGACTGAAAATCCTTCACCATATTTGACTTCGTTTTTCATCAGTTAAATTTCAGAGGGGAAGAAGTTAACTTTACTTCTAAGTGACAGGACACGCCAGGTATCAAAAGTGTTATAAATCTCATTATCACTCCTGTATGGAAGCTGGTAATTAGTGCAAGACAAACAATTTCAATAAGCTGCCCAGGTAAATGCTCTTGCTGAAAATGCACTGGGAAGTGTTTTTTCCAGCTAAGCATGAAGGTTAAAAACACAAGTGCAATGCAAGAATTAAAAATGAGGTCCAAGCTAAGAGGCTTGAAGGAGCACCACTGCACTGTATCCATATCAGTACCTAAACAGGGCAGGAACCTGACTTTTAGGGACCCAAGGCAGGCAAACAGAACATCATGTGAACAGGCAAGACAAAGTGTGCACAGACTCCCTTCACCCCACCGTACATTGCCACGGCAGCTGGAAATCATAAGGGGAGCCCGGTGCTGAAAAGTCTCTGGAGGAAACTCTTTGCTTCTAGCAAGATGAATAATACGCCTGTTCCCTAGTTGTGAGCAAACACTACAAAGGAATAATTAGAAACTATCTGACCTGAAACCCACATGCCCATTACTGTGGTATTTTTCCACCTACTACAGGTGAAACAGAAGATGGGCTGGACCTGGAAGGGGAGGGGTGGAGTGGCAGCACAAGATGCTGATTTATAAAGCACAAGCAAACAGTGCTCTTTCTCCACAGGCTCTGGACACAGAACCCGTCCTGCCTGAAGGATGCCGGAGTGCAAGCAGGATTCCAGCTAACATCTGCTTGCCAGCCAAGAGGGAACTACAACCTCTGTGAGCTCTTGCACTCCAATAGCCAGAACTGCTCTGAGCCACTTCGTTCTCCAGTTGGGCTTTTGCTTTTCATCCAGAGACTTTGGCTTGACTGTTTGACACCATCAGGAAAGGAATAAACTCACCAAGATGGTAAAGGTGAGTGTGCTGTTAGCAGAACTGCTGCTACTGCATATGTGTTTCTTCTTCAGAACAAGCGTTAATTTAAGTTTTAATATGCGTGTGTAGATCATAAATATGAGCTAAGTGAAAAATGGGACTAATACCAGGCACTGTTGGGCATGCAGTGCAATGACTAAAATTTTCACTGTAGATGGGTATGCACCTCTAATCCTAAAAAGTAAAGGATCAGATTGGATAGGGAAGAATTCTAGGACTGGCCAGTTAGTTTCATAACTGAGTTTCATGAGCACCATCCCTTTTGCAAATGCCAGAATCTGGGATTTTATGAAAATTGACAGGTTAAAGGTTAAACATAGATCATGCATAGAATGCATCGATAGATTTTACTAACTTCATTAATTTTCCTTATTATTCTCCTCCATCTCCTAAGTTCTCACCGTAGATAGCTGTATTCTTTCTCTCCTGGTGTACTTTATGTGGATTTGAAAAGCTGAACAGATTTTTGGGTGGGACAGTTTAAGAGGAGGAGGAGGAGGAGGAGGAGGAAGGTGAAGGAAAAATTCCAACAGATAAACCAGATTGTGAATCTTTGGCAAGGTATAAAAACCAGAACTTCTTGTAACAGACATGTCCTCTGTCTGGGATATATCACCAAGCAAATTCAAGTGCTTTAGGAAAAGGACTTCAAGTAATTGAAATACTGCTTCACAGTTATTCAGTAACTACAAGGAGACCTTTTATTATACCAGGACTCTCCCCAAACTACTGACCAGCTCTTAGCTTTTCCCTCCCTCAAGATACAATGTCAAGACTTCAACATTCCTCTAACTAAAGGGCATCTGAGGATAAGATGCCACTTTTGAGTTCAGAATGCTATTAAGTAATAAGATGTCCCAATCCTTCCTTTTTTTTCCTTGTTGTTTCCATTACTTAAGCTCTTTGGTTTAGTCTGTATGCAGTTAAGACGTCTACTCTCAACTCATCTGAAATATTACCTCTGCAGGAGCCCAGACTCTGACAAATGCCCTGCAGAGTGCGTGTGTACTCGCAGCAGCAGCAGCCTACGAGCTCCTCTGTCCCACTGGTGAAGCACAGCATCAGATAAGATGCAGTGTGACTCTTACGAGGCTCTGATGGTTAAGCTGTGAGGAAGCCTCTGAAATGGGGTCAACCAATAGTTCTTCCAAGTCACAGCATGTAGTTTACAGGATAATTAGGATCTGGAACGTTATGATTAGAGAAGCTGGTAAATTAGCAACACAGGAAGTTTGCCCTTCAGACCACAGTATTAACTTAAAGTTAGGAAACAGCACAACCCTCAAGTTATCAATAAAAGCAAAACATTGTTAGAGGTTTAGCAGCTTCCCTAGGATAACAGTTTCCTGCACCCGGTACTAGATGGGCAAAAATGAGTGAAGGGTTTGCAAACTCCCTGTCAGTTCTGAGCTCTAAGTGAAAAGAAACAGACTTGCTTCTCCTTGGCTACCAGTATGGTGTTTGCCTCCATTTCTTGCCAAGTGATCGAGTGTGAATGTGTAAATATTAATTTTATCAATTAAATGTTAATTTTAACTAAAAAAGAAAAGTAAATCTTGAAGTCATGTATCTCAAAAGCTCCAGCAACAGGAAAGTTCTCCATGATTATTTTTCCCTCCCCCTTCCTTTTAAAAATCTTTTGCTTTTACACCGATCTCTTCCTTGGAGCTGATGAGTGACTCAATGGTTTTCACTAGCAATGCGGAGACCCTAGCAGTGTTCCCACACTTTGTGTTAGACCATAAACTACTAAAAGTGTTGCAGATCTCTAAAGGAATCTCTATAATTTACATCTGCTGAAGACCTGACCATGACTGCTGTTAACTCACGCTGGAGAGATCTTAGGATAAGACAGGAACTAGTGCTCTAAGTTGCCAGGGGAAAGAGACTGTAGCAATTTGTAGCTTGTCTAAGAAAACAGATTTGTCAGAGTTTGACTTGCTTGTGATAATTTTTACTGCTTGCTTCACGTCCCATCAGATGTTCACAGCAATGCCAAAACCTCACTTCTTTTACAGAAAAAGTCCGATGTTTACTCAGTTGAGATCTATGGGACAAAAGATTTACAAAAACCAGAGATAGGAGACGAAGAGGAGAAGTACAAAGACTTGAAAGGCAACAAGAAAAAAAAGAAGACAGAGGACCTTAAGAAAGAACTGGACCTGGTGAGTGTTGCTAAGCTCCCGTTACACCTGGCAGGACAGGCTCTACCCACTGTCTGAACGCCGCCTGGGGAAGGGGATTGGATGCCCTTGCTCTGTCATTTTAACAGGAAACTGAAACGCTGAAAGTCCTAACACAGGGACGGATTCACTTTTTCGCATGCCTGAAGTGTGCCAGAACAAAGCTGTGCAGGATTAATACCTATAATGAAAGAATTATTCTGGCTTAATTAAATCTCTGGACATTATCTCCCCAAAGAGGAGTTAATCCCAGATGGAATAACTGCAATCGGTATTTCCTCCGATCTGCCACTTGCCGAGTCAGCCAGGAAACAGAGGGAAAGGTAGAAGCACAACATTTTGCTGCAGAGATTTCTAGGAGATCTAAAAGCACACCTCAGCTTCAAGCACAGGTTCTTTTTCCCCAAACCAACTGCACTGCACTTCAGGGACTGTGCACTAAGCTCAAGAAACCTGTATTTCACTTCTGGCTTGCTACCGACCTGGCTGATCTTGGACAAGTTGCTTCCTCTCTGTACGTTTCAGTTTCCCAATCGGAAAAATGGAGGTAATTATACTGACCTCTTTTCTGAATTGCTTTGAGAGCAACTCAAAGGACAGGCTATTTATGGGCTAGATGGTATTTCAAAGGTAAGAAAACTCCTAAATGAGCCATCAGTTTATCCATCACGTTTCCAAGATCTACCCAGTAATAGCTAAATAATTGTCTAAGCATCTTATCTTTGCCACCAGGGGATGTAACATCAGTCTCGTGTTTCTAAAGAGAAACCAAAGCGCAGACAAGTTAATTGACTCATCCAAGTACCAATGAATCATTCTGTGAAAACAACTGCGAGATCTCGCAAATTCTTGGCTTCTAAATCTGAGTTCAACACAAGATATAATTAGGTCAATGATACCACAGAGGTGTCACTGCGGGGAAAGGAGCAGAGCTTTGAGATTTCCCTCTCCCACACCCTTTTAACCGTGGTTAGAACCTGCTGCTTCTTTCTACAAGACTCTGGCGAACAATTTCACATACCCTACCTTGTGAATCAAGTACAAGCGCTGTTGTCACACATATTCTGACACCACACCCTTTCTTCCGTCAGCGCGTCGCCTGTGCTACCGAACGCTTGAGTCCGGCAGCGCGGAAAGAGGAAAGCAGCACAGACATTTGTGGCAAGCGGTACTAACATGAAAACACCACTCTGTTCTTGTGACAGATTTGCTGGAGGAGGGAGCTATTTACAAAAGTACTCTCAAATTCAAAAGAAAATACCACCTTACAGCGGAGGGGTATTTTGCTTGCACATAAGCAGATTGCATGTTGTCTATTCATGCAGGTGGGATGTCATGCTAGCAGCTGGATCCACGGCCCCAGATCCAGGCAGTTTGAACTGATCCTGATTCACCAGATCCAAAAAATAAACTTTTCGACACTCTGACAATCTGCTATGATTTTCTCTTTTTTTTTTTAAATGCAGGATGACCACAGGCTCAGCGCATCGCAACTGGAGGAAAAGTACGGTACAAGCATCAACAAAGTAAGTCCATAACTGCCTGAGTCAGCCTTACTTTGCCTCTGGCTTATCCAAAGCTTCCTAGGAGCAGCAGGAAAACATTCAAATCAACAGACTCATACATATGTGTCTATGTGGATGCACGCATGCACAAATGCCATGCAGCAGCTCCCAGTAAAGCCTAAAGCAGCAAGTCAACAAACAGCGCTGACCTGGATTCAGACTGGAGTCCTCAGACTCTCGATTCTGAAAAAGCCTGACCTACTGTTTTGAAATCAGAATCCCTGAACAAAGCTTGACCTCAAAGTTTGCACCAGGACCTCAGCTTTTCTACCCAGTTTTTGTCTGGTGTTTCAATTTCACTACAGTTCAGTTTTCACTGGCAGTGTCTGTAACAATTTATAGCAAGAAAATGCATTGGAAATCATTTTATCTTGAAGGAAACACCAGATTTGAGAAACTATACACCTAAGTCACTTTGACACCTAATATTCAAGTATCAAAGCACTGCAACGCAGTCAGAGTACAGACAGGAATTTCCAGAAAGCCACGAACTACAAACATCTCGGTGGAAATGCAGAAACAGCAGCCACAGAATGAAAACTCCTAATTGACACAGCCCCAGATTCAGTGCTCCAGTAAAGAAATCTCGCTTTCTTCATAGCGGGTAACTAACAGTAGCCACTCTGAAATCAGGTTTGGAAATCAGAGATGCAGGTTACTTACATGTTTAAGGGAAAAGCACATGTTTTTCTGAGTTGAGATAGAAATCCCTTTTTCTGTGACTTAATTTTAAACACCTCGTTTATTTTTCAGGGTCTCTCTAATGCAAGAGCAGCAGAGATTTTGGCCAGGGATGGTCCCAACGCTCTCACTCCTCCCAAAGCCACTCCTGAAATTGTAAAGTTCCTGAAGCAGATGGTGGGAGGCTTTTCCATCCTCCTATGGATAGGAGCTGTCTTCTCCTGGATTTCATTTGGCATTCAGCTTGCCCAGGGAGCTGAATCAGCCTTTGACAATGTAAGTATTTGAGTAACCACAAAGTGAGTACTTGACCCTCTGTCAATCTCAGTAATTGAAATACTGCTTCACAGTTATTCAGTAACTACAAGGAGGCCTTTTATTATATCAGGACTCTCCCTCTACCACCAAACATTTCTGATAAATGCTCAAATACCTGACATACCACTTCTGTCTAAGAGTGCCTACGTAAAGGTTTTATAACCACTACCCACAGTCGTAATACTTGAGTACTCATAAGAGCAGTACTAAAATCTACAAAGGACTCTGGAGTCTCTGACTCCGATCCCCTTAAGAGTTACACTCTGCTAGGAATATAATTTGTTCAGGTTTGTGTCAGGTTTAGTTTGGAGGACACTTTTAGAGAGATGGCAAACTTACTATTAGAAGCCCTGTTCATACTCCAGAAGCGTTACTTGATCATTAGCAGGGCAAAACTTGCAAGTTCTTTTCTTAAACTGTCTTTTAACCTGATCAATACCTCATTTTAAGTCTCCTGAAACAATACGGAACTAAGATTTATTCTAAAAGATGAACTGCTGAGCACTTGTCCTAAATTAACCAGATTATGTCTTTTCTTGATTAGCTCTACCTTGGTGTAGTCCTGGCGCTGGTTGTCATCCTCACTGGTATCTTCGCTTACTATCAAGAAGCTAAAAGCACAAATATCATGGCCAGCTTCAGTAAAATGATTCCACAGGTGAGAATAACCAATGCATTCCTTTAGAGACAAATATTCAATCTAATAATGCACCATGAAACGACAAAACGTGATTAGCCCAACTTGAGTTTACCTTTTAAGGAGGTCCGGAGCATGGCACAATGCTCATTTTTGTCCCACTTGTGTCTTTCAGCAAGCTCTTGTCATCAGAGATGCAGAAAAAAAGGAACTGCCAGCAGACCAGCTGGTGGTTGGAGACATCGTGGAAATAAAGGGTGGAGATAGGATCCCAGCAGACATTCGCCTGATCTTTACTCAGGGTTGTAAGGTAAACAGTGCATTGTAGAGCATGGGAAAAGGGCAATGATGTGGTTGAGAGACTTCTATTACATATAGAGAATTTCTGCGCTCCCAGTATGAGTTATCAGAGCTTTAATGACACATAATCTAATTAACTCATAGAGTGCAGAAGCTATACTGTGATGCTCAGCTCACCTAGGATTAACATCTCTGCTCCCTGAATACCAAAAGAAGCCATTAGGTCCATACCATGTTCTCGTGACAGAAATAGCAATACAATATTAAGAGTTTCCACAGACCCAGAGACAGATATTCAAACCACTTTTTCTTTCAGGCTGCTGCTGAAAATCCCTCTGACAGGCACACACAGCATCGACTGAACTGCATTCGCACAGAAATAGATTCTCTCGCTGACAATGACAACTCTCTCAGAGCAAAGGCACCGAGAGATGAGGGTCCTGTCACCAATTATTAAATGTGCTGCTGCCTTGGCTTCTGGGCTAGACAAAACTGCGTATTTCTAACTTTAATATGGGCATGTCTCCGTTTCATTAAAGGTGGACAATTCTTCACTCACAGGGGAGTCAGAACCACAGTCTCGTTCATGTGACTTCACCCATGAGAACCCCTTGGAGACCAAGAACATCGCCTTCTACTCCACCACCTGTGTGGAAGGTGTGTACAGAGAGAAGAGCCTCTAGACATGGCACCTCTACAGGGTCATACATAATCCTGCTAACTCATTTTAAGCAATTCTGCTTCAAGGAATTCCAGAAAGGTTTAATTGCTCACGAAAAGCTACTGTCCCAAGCACACCAAAATAAAGCCTTAAGGACTGGGCTGGACATACTTAGTATCAACCAGTGAGACATTTGTTTTAATGCACAGCTTGGTTACGGATGCAACAATCAATTGTCTCAGTCACATTAAGGCTGAGAAGAGTCTCTGTCAATCAGTACTGGGTACAGAAGACAGGATTAGACTCTCCTGGAGCTGACAGTCCTCTATTTCTTTGCAGGCACTGCTACTGGCATTGTAATCAACACTGGGGATCGCACTATCATCGGGCGAATTGCCTCTCTGGCATCGGGAGTAGGAAACGAGAAAACACCCATTGCTATCGAGATAGAACATTTTGTCTACCTGGTAGCAGGAGTGGCCATTTCCATCGGTGTTCTCTTCTTCATTATATCTGTTTCTATGCGGTACAAGATTCTGGACTCCATCATCTTTCTCATTGGCATCATTGTGGCTAATGTGCCAGAGGGACTGCTAGCCACAGTGACGGTAAGTCCATGTTTGAATTTACCGGTTGGCACTGCAGTTCTTTAGCCATTACCACAATTCATCGCTCCTAAGTTCACTACAGTGCAACACTAAGCAGTGAAGAACAGATTACCTATTAAGTGACTTGGCTGAGCCGAGTTTGAAATAGGAGTGGTTTTTTCCATGAAACTGAAAGGACAAACATTTCACTTGTGAATTCTGACATAACTGAGCCATTAATCTTAAAAGCTTCAGCACAAGAATCCAGTTTGAAATAAGGTTCTTCAAATATTGTTTTCCCGCAATTGCTAACCAGGAGAATGTTGTGACTCATTTCCCCAGAACCCATTCCTATCTGGAATTGAGGATATCGTACCCTAGAAGTCACACGAAAACTCCACTTAATAACACATTAAAAAGTATCACTAAAATCCTTGGCTGAGAAGCAGCACACCTGCTAAGCACTGTTAGCCCTAAAGTGCACCAACAGCAACCAACCAGCAGTACTGCAATAATGATTCGGGATTCATTAAGCTGGTGGTTAGGAGCTCTCCACACATTGTAGGTTCTTCCATCTAAAACAGCCTCTTGTAGAATAGGCCATTCTTATTTCTATCAGCAGGCAAGCAGGTTCCTTTCAGCAGCTAATGTACTTTTGCTAGTTACATCCAAAGCTCTGACTTTAATAATGCTGTTAAAAAGAAAGAAATCATCTACTGCAGTCAAGCAAAAGATCATTTTTAAAAAATGTTCTCTTCCTAAAACAAGCAAACAAAAAGCCCTCAAAAATCGAGACATAAACAACCTAGCAGAAACACGCAAGGTCATTGCATCATTCTGTAACTGCACCTCACTAACCCCAAGCTGAATTTCTTCACTTCTGCCAGGTGAGTCTGTCTCTGACAGCCAAGCGGATGGCGAAGAAAAACTGTTTGGTGAAGAACTTGGAAGCTGTAGAAACACTCGGTTCTACCTCCATCATCTGTTCTGACAAGACAGGGACCCTCACCCAAAACAGGATGACTGTTGCTCACCTCTGGTTCGACAACCAGATCTACTCAGCTGACACCAGTGAAGATCAAACAAGTAAATATGGCAATGGGGGATCTGGGAAGGGGCAACTGCTTGGATCAAACCTGTGGTGTTTTACAAACTGATGTCCATAGGAATGTCTTTTGATAGCTAAACCAGACGTGTCTTCCTTCCACATGGAAATGTAGTGTGCAACAGGATAACCCCCTGTTATCCTGTTATGTAGCCATGTAGAGATGTGAATAAAAGAACTAATATGTGAACTCCACTCACAGAAAGTAAGTCTGGAGGAGGTTCTCATCCAGATCCCCTTGCCAAGAGTAAATTTAGTAAGGAAATAAAGAAATATCATCTAAGCAATTCTGCCAGAACTGCTAACTAACGGATGTAATGGTTTTCATCAAATTGCTTTTCTTTAACAGAACCTCTCAAAAGAGCAATTTTCTTCTGCAAATAATTTAATCTTACTGTTTCAAATGTAAGCTTCTACTTCCACCATGTAATATGCTAAGAGGTCCAATATTTATTTTGCTTCCTCTCAGCCCAGCCTTTTGATCAAAGTTCTCTGTCGTGGACAGCATTATCCAAAATTGTAACTCTCTGCAACCGAGCGGAATTCAGACCAGGACAGGAGAACGTCCCAATAATGAAGGTACCGTCTACTGAACATCAGCTTATTTCTCTTCCTAAGAACAATATGAGACCATGTGAGTTGATCTGTTTGGCTTTAATAATCTCCTTCATTTTACCCTGCCAATCTTCTAGGTTACTATTTACAGTAGTATTACTGGTATACACTTGCAAAAAGACAGGGAAAAAACCCTCCGTCAATGCCTTCCTCAAAGCCATTTGACTTTGTGCCTCAGCACGCACGCCCATACACACCTGCTGCTACCTTACGACTGCACTACAAAGCCTCCACACAAACCTGAAAGTGATCCCAGCGTGCTTTCGCAGGATCAAGCACTAATTTCATCTCTTTGCTTTGTTACAGCAGCAAATGCAAACCAGATGTCCCAGAGCATTACTGAAATCATTTTTCAGGACTGTTGAATGTAGCAACATAGATTCCTCACTGCTTAAACATACAACACATTATAGAAGCATGCAGGCTCTCCTGATGGACGTGCAGAAGTAAATGTGCTGTAAACTGTTTCTCCTTTTGTGCACACAGAGAGTCGTGGTAGGCGATGCCTCCGAAACAGCTCTGCTGAAATTTGCAGAGGTCATTTTGGGTGACGTTATGAATATTAGAGCGCAGAACAAGAAAGTGGCTGAAATTCCTTTCAACTCTACCAACAAATTCCAGGTGTGTTTCATTTGTGGAAATTATGCCAGACTGTTTCAAACTTAAACCATTTCTATCACTGGGTCTAATGCAAGAAGAGCCACAAGGATGGTGAGGGCTCTGGAGAACAAGGCTGATGAGGAGCGGCTGAGGGAACTGGGCTTGTTTAGCCTGGAGAAGAGAAGGCTGAGGGGAGACCCCATCACCACCTCCAACTGCCTCAAGGGAGGGTGTAGAGAGGTGGGTGCTGGGCTCTTCTCCCAGGTGATGGGGGATAGAACAAGGGGAAACGGCACCAAGCTGTGCCAAGGGAGGTTCAGGTCAGAGATAAGGAGGAAGTTCTTTACTGAGAGGGTCGTCAGAAGCTGGCACAGGCTGCCCAGGGAGGTGGTGGAGTCACCATCCCTGGATGTGTTTAAAGAGCGGGTAGACGAGGTACTTAAGGATATGGTTTAGGGGGTAGACAGGAGCGGTTGGACATGATGATCTCAGAGGTCTTTTCCAACCAAGCGATTCTGTGAACTATTTGTGACCTGGAAGTCTTAATGGGGTAACTCAGTGACAGAGAAAAACGAAGCTAAAATAAACGTAGTTCACTCCATCTGATGGAAAGTCTGATATCTTCATGGAAAAGAAGGAGCATTACTTCCATACAAACTGACCAAAACTAGAAATTAATGAGGATCACACATGCTCTTTCAAATAATTTCCTATTTGTGGCATGCAGCTTTCCATTCACGAGACCGACGATCCCAATGACAAACGCTTCCTGCTGGTGATGAAAGGTGCCCCAGAGAGGATTTTAGAGAGATGCAGCACCATCATGATCAATGGCAAAGAAGAACCGCTGGACAGTGAGAAGGCAGAAGCTTTCCAAACAGCATACATGGAGCTGGGGGGCATGGGAGAGAGAGTGCTGGGTGAGTCCAACTAGAGGGACTATCAGAGAACTGTGGTGTAAAATGGGGTTTTCAATCGGTACAACCCAGCATGTCTGGACTTCATTGCTCTTGCAGCACAGGGGAAAAAAGGAAGGCGTAAAGCCTCCTAAGCAGAGTGTTAAAATCACACCGACGTGCTGTAAGCTCTCTGCTCTATACTGATGTTGATCTGCCACATTGAGCAGCCAAATATCCCATACATAATCTACACAGGAGAACACTCTTCTTTGCTGGCAGCATCGCAAGCTTTGTCATGTGAATCACTGACTCTGCATGAACTCTGATGTGAAGGTTACAAAGGTTAAAATAATCCTCCGTAGAAAGCTAATGGTTAAATGCACCAGAGTTCTATATGTAAGAGAAAAGCCTGGTGCTATATAGCAAACTCTCCTTTCTCCCACTGTTTCCTGTACACCACACCAACCCCAGTTTCTTTGCAGGTTTCTGTCATTTGTACCTGCCTGAAGAGGAGTTTCCAGACACCTACCCATTTGACACAGATACCATGAACTTCCCAACCTCCAACCTGTGCTTTGTTGGGCTTCTGTCTATGATCGACCCACCTCGTTCCACGGTGCCAGATGCCGTCTCAAAATGCCGCAGTGCGGGGATCAAGGTAGGGATTTTACAATGCAAAATACACCGATTCTACAGACAGACTCATGATAATGTAACTTTTAGTATCTTCTACCACATTGTCATTAAGTTCCTTTCTAGCAACAACTACCAAAAATCCAAATGTCTGTTAATACCACTCTACAATTCTACTTTAAAGAAGGCCCAGAGAGGCAAAACAGTTTAATTTAAGTGAGAATCAGACTATAGGAAGTACACGGGACTCTGAAACTGGAAATCCGAATTTGGAAAAGCTCAGATATTGTCTCACCAGACCAATTTCTAGGCTACAGAAACCATGCCAGCTGGTAAACAGCGTAAGGGAACACAAACAATTCTTGAGAAGGCATTAGGACACAGGGCTACATTTGTTACTCATTTTTACGCATAGGAATCAATAATCTCAAGTTCAACTTGAACCTGAAGCAGTAATTCCCCTAATTTCACTGCTGGAGGCCCACAGGTAAACTTTCAGCTCTAGGCAGAGAGGCAAGCCAGCTAAATAAAGGAAAATCAGTATCTGGAATTACTGATCTCAGATAAGATGAATCCCAAGCCCCAACTCTGATAAAAATTTCAGTAGCCTAAAGACAGATCTAGCAACTTTTCTCCAAGAAAAACAAGAGAAAACTGTGTCTTATCTGTCAGGACACCTCAGTCACAAGGATCCATTTTAAGATGGAATATACTAACGAACTCTCCCCTTTGAGTAAACCTAATATAAATTCTTACATAAAGGCTTATTTTTCCTGCATTATTCTAACCTTGCTGCCTGCGACAAGTTCTTCCTCTACAGCCCTGATAAAACAGCACCAATAACAAGAGGTACAGACCAGATGTCAACATAGCACTAATTAAGTAATAGTCATTATCTGTCACTGTTATGTACATAGCTCAGCTTTCCAAGTTCAGATTCTGAACTGCTTCCTGGTCTCCAGCAGCAGCTATTTCCCCTTATCTCACTCCAACCACTACATATCCATTTATCACTCCCGCTGAGCGCTTGTCCCTTCCACAGGTTATCATGGTCACTGGCGATCACCCAATCACGGCCAAGGCCATTGCCAAGAGCGTAGGCATCATCTCAGCCACCAGCGAGACGGTGGAAGATATCGCTAAGCGCCTCAACATTCCTGTTGAGCAAGTCAATAGAGGGTAAGAGCAAACAGAGTCCAGGGGATACCTGCGGGTTCATTTGCTGAAAGCTAAGCCTTCTCCCTCCTCAATGCTTTTATAGCCTATTTCTACATCACGGCTGCTTTTTGCTTTTCTGTTTCTTGATACGTTCCCAGCTGTTGTGTCTATCCAACATGTCACCTCTACCTAAATAACTGTCTAGGTCTGCTGCTCTCATCTTCACTGGTCCTTTGAAAAAAAACTAGCAAATTTTACTTTGTACATCGTGTTGGACTTTGCTGTCACTGCTCATTTGATGAAACACACAATATGAACAGCAAAATTCAGCATCACACAGCCTAAGGACCATCAGTCCAAATTCCTCTTTCACCCATTAAATGTGAAAAAATAACATTGTAAGAGAAAGTCAAAAGCTCTTTATAGAAAAAAAAGTCTTCCTCCTCCTCCACTGTCCCACCCTCCCACTCAGAGTCCTCTTTAAAATGCATTTTCTGCTGTTATGTCTGTTCAGGAGGAAGCTTCAATGACTCCCCTCTGGAGTCATTCACTCTGGATTTCTACAGTGGCTTTCATTCAACACCTGCTGATTACCAACTAATGCTTCTGAAATTAACTCCATTTGCTGCTTTCCTTACTATCAAGCCGCGTGCATTCTATGAGCGCACTATTTTTATCTAAGCCTTTTGATTGGAAAATTTACCCAGCTCTCCCATGGCTCTTGCAGAGAAGCCACAGCAGCAGTAGTTAATGGGATGGAGCTGAAGGACATGAGCTTGCAGCAGCTGGATGAAATCTTGTGTAACCACTCGGAGATCGTCTTTGCTCGGACATCGCCGCAACAGAAACTGATTATAGTTGAAGGCTGCCAAAGGCAGGTGAGTAAGAGGTGTAAAAGGTTATACACGGATATGGCTATAGGGTGTTCGTGAGGCTTTCCACAGATACCGACCCTGAGGGGAGAGGATGGAAGCCAATTTCCAATGCTCTCTAAGCTCTGTTTATACTCTTTGCACTGTGCAAGAACATTATCTGACAGATTGCCACAAACACTGTCTGGCCAGAATCCAAGCTACTCAAATTCCTGTTACAGGCTCTGAACTATTGACCAAATGAGCTTTTCCTAAGTTTGATTAGCTTAGAGCTGTACCGAGGGTTGCCTTTTGCATATAGTTCTGAGAAGCTGCTGCTGTGCTGCACATAAAGCCTCCTGGGCAGAGGTTGTGCACTGTTTGGGAAGGAGCCTTCCCTCAGGAATTCTTTAAACCCAGATAAAAGCAACCCAGATAAAAGCAACTTGTTACCACATCATCTTATCTCTTGTGGCCATTTACACCTGTGCACTTCCCGCCCACAGCAATGTTTAGAAGTGAAATAAGGTATGCATCCCACAAAATTATTTACGTAGCACCAAGCCTTATCTGCGTTACTTTCAAAGACTGTAAAACAACCCACAGAAAGCAGGATTTAAAAGAGAGTTTGTCCCATCCACGAGCAATATTATGTAAAGGAACATGGATTGCAGCCAGCACAAGAGGCAGAACGGAAAGAAATGACACGCATAGAGCTCTGAAAGAGATGCAGACTGTCATGTAAAGATCCTCTCCTCAGATACGGCATCTTCCAAGTAGATGCTGTGAACTGAAAGCCACACTGCTGCTGTGCCTGGAACTTTGCAGAGAAGGAGAATACGGCACAAGACATTATTTTATTTTCGTAATTATGCCAGAGCTAAGCTTCTCAATCAGCATCAACAGCTCTTTGTGTTTAAGCCTGAAATGATTTCAGGAGAGGAGAAAAAAAGAGATAAAATCTTTCTATTTAATCGCTTTTATATTCTCCTTTCAAATGGTCTTTGGCAGACAGAGGGTAAATATGTTCTGCACTGCTTAGACACCCGCACTCCGAGTAGATTTGGCTCTTTAAAGGATGAAGAGGAACACCCTCCCCCCCTCAACTCAAGCCAGCCAGTCTACATGTTTAGTACTTAGAGCTTATAAGCCCTTCTGTACATGGCATTATTTATAGGTAGTGACACTGTGCTAAATCCCCACAGGGACAGGACATTCAGTATTTGTATTAATCAGTTTGTCAGGCTTTTTCCCACTCCAAACACTCTGCATTGCTATCAAGCCATGAACTTTCGCATCAACTAGAAGAGGACCTTTAGCTGCAGTAGTGGCTTCATTGAAAGATGACAAAGAAGATTATTTGAATAATCAGTTTTCCATATTTTGCATCGCTAGTGCAATTCTAGCACAGCCTGGCAATGACCAGAAGTTGCTGGGATAGGATGAGAACAGTCTGTAACTGAACAGTTACATAATTTACAATTAGGATGAAAACTGATTCATAAGCACTTGACAAAAGCAAACAAAAAACCCCACCAACAAGGACAGAACATGTTGTGTCAACTGCGTTTCCCACAGATGCCAGAGATGAGCGTGGGTCTGCTCAGACAGATATAGACCATATACACATAGCCACGTGTCTAAATTTTTAAGCCCCCTTATAGTCCACAGAAAGAAATTACCAGATTAATTGCTTTTTAAATGCGTCTCATTTAGATGTCTAGTTTAAGGTGTATTAAATCATATCCCTGAATTTCCCATTTCTATCAATTATGAAGGGAGTCTAGAAGACAAACTCAAGCCCAGACATTTATCACCAAAGTCTGAGGTTGCTGTATTAATCCTACCTAGCATCTTTCAGATCACTGGCTATGTTTTATGGGGTACGAAGATGATTCAGAACTTCATATCAGCTTCTTTCTTCTAGAGATTTAAGGACAGGCAGGCAGCGTGCCTAGAGCAGACTGTCCTTAGGGGAAGAGAGCACCATCTCCTCACAAAACCCACATCTGGATCCTTTTGTCTGTTCCAGGGAGCAGTTGTTGCCGTGACTGGAGATGGAGTCAATGACTCCCCTGCTCTTAAAAAAGCAGATATTGGAATTGCTATGGGTATTGCTGGTTCTGACGCAGCTAAAAATGCAGCTGATATGGTACTGCTGGATGATAACTTTGCTTCTATTGTCACAGGAGTGGAGGAAGGTAAAAATAATGTTGCTATCCACTTTCTTAGCTGAAAACTGCTGGCAGTCACACAGCACTGGCACAGTGCACCCCCTGATCCTTCCTTACTGTGCTCACCCTCCCCTCCTTTCATTTTTTCTTTCTGGAATCGGGAATGTGATTTTGGTATTTGGGAAAACTGGAAATTAATTCAATTTGCAGACACATATCCAACAGGCAATAAGGAAATCATGCCTCTCTCTCGCACATTTTTAAGTAGAGAATCAGTCTGCTATTGCTGCTTGTTCAACCTCCAGAAAAAAGCACTTCCCCTCTTGTTCCTATGCAGTTCTGAGCCTCACAAAGATAATTTGTATCTTTGGTTTTGTCTACATTTTCACTCTATTACTTGCTCACACATCACCTTCACCATGCTCCACCTATGACTATAACACACATTCAACCCTTTCACTGTTAAAAGCTTGTAGTTTCCATTAAAACCATAGTGTATTGTGGAATGAGACTTTTTCCACCCATTGAAAGAGATTTGTTATTTTCACTTGTATTTCCAGAAGGCTCAAAGGTAAGGTAGGTTAGCAGTTTAAAAAGAAACTCCAAATGTATAAGGAATGTAGCCATAAGTGGCAAATATCTTCATTTAGTTAAGAATTGAACTTTTTTAAAAAAACCTGTTGACTATGAGCTATTACAGAAGTGTTTCCCTTTCCTTCAGGCCGCCTGATCTTTGATAACCTAAAGAAAACAATTGCCTACACCCTGACCAAGAATATTGCTGAGCTCTGTCCCTTCCTCATCTACATCATGGCCAGCATTCCAATGCCCATTGGCACTATCACCATCCTGTTCATTGACCTGGGCACAGACATTGTAAGTTGAGGTCTTTCAAGTTATTTTCTGCTGTAATACCAAGACAAGTAAGAGAGCAGAGTGCAAATGGACAGGCAGAACACTGGAAGGTTTAGTTGCCTTGCCCTCCAGCTGAATATCGAGCTAGTTAAAGAGTAAAAGCAGCCAGGTGTAGAGAAAGAAGAGTAGAAAAAAAAACGTGCAAGGCAGCAGAAAGAAAAGACTTCTGATCCACGGTGACAAGTAAAACTCAGCGGTGTGCAAAACAAGTGTGTTTCAATCAAGAGATCACACCAATTGCTGCAGTTCCTACAGGGAATGAATACCAGACATTTCATTAGAGCCCAGTCCAAGGGATCTGAAACACCCTTTGATGTTTTCAGTATCCTCAGTATCCTTTGTATTGCCCTATGATTGTCAGACCTATGTCAAGAGAATGTTACGTGGATCCTTCTTTCATTTGCTCTGTGCAGACTGAAAGGGCAGGCTATGTCAGCAGAACCACTTGAGACCTGAAACTTTTCTGAGAAGCATCTGAGAAGCAGACAAATGTCACCAAGACTCTGACGGGTTATTTCTGTTGTAGATCCCCTCTGTTGCATTAGCCTACGAGAAAGCTGAAAGCGATATTATGAACAGGAGACCTCGTAACAAAAGGAAAGACAGGCTGGTGAACGAGCAGCTCGCTATATACTCCTATCTGCAGATCGGTAGGTTGGCCCATTCCCTGAAACGCTATCCTGTAGCACTAAGAGCTCTAAAACTACCTTTAGATCCATGCCATGGGAGACAGATCAATGCTTATACCCAGCACATTCCCCAGTGCTCCTAAATTTTGCTTCTTCCTCATTTGTACCTCTTTGATTTTGCAGGTATCATGCAGTCAGTGGGAGCCTTTGTAACCTATTTTGCCGTGTATGCTGAACAAGGTTTCCTCCCTTCCACGCTGCTTGGAGTGCGAGTCGACTGGGAAAACAACGCCATTAATGACTTTGAGGATTCGTATGGACAGGAATGGGTAAAGAAGCCCTGAAACATCCTTGTACTGCCTCTCACTCAACAGTTCCTTAAAAACGCTCCTCCAAAACAAATAATTAAGGAAAGAGAGAGAGATTTAAATGCAAACATAATTAATTTTCATCCAATGGTCCCCCAGGATAGACTATTAGGAGTTTCCTGCCACCTAGCTCTTCCATTCAGACTCCATTCATGCTTCTACAATTTCCCTTCTCCTGATTCAAAGCCTCTGGAGATGCACCTTCTTCTCTGGACTTTATGTTTAGACCCATCATAATCTCTCAGCCCTGTTTCTGAACAGCACTACTGTAAAATACTTTGCAGACTCTCCCTCCCCCTTTCACTCTTCACTCCCCCTCACGCATTCTGCTGAAATCACAGGACACAAAAGCCATTAATAAATCAATATAAATACCTCCTTAACCAAGCTCGTGCTTCAGCCTCATGACTCATCCACAGTAACCAGCAGATTAGAACAACCGACCAAAATCGATCATTATGAACCTAAATCTGGAATAACTCTGCATTCACACCTTAGTAACTGAAATCCTACTGTCAGGCCTTGCAGTCACTTGCACAAAAATACGAGTGATTTGATTTCTCTTTGCTTTGCAGACTAAATACCAGCGGACGTACCTGCAGTGGACTGGCTATACAGCCTTTTTTGTCAGCATCACAATTCAGCAAGTCGCTGATTTGATCATCAGGAAAACACGAAGAAATTCTATTTTCCGGCAGGGTCTTTTCAGGTAAGTTTTGCTGACTCTTTACCTGACACATGAGAGGATACGTTAGCCTATTCCTAATTTTAGAAGAAGGTTAGCTCAGTGCTTTAGCCCACTGACCTTCAGTCTTTGAACAAAGACTAAATCTGGCTTCAAGCAATCAAAGAGCACAAACATTTTATTAAACCTCCTCCCGTTTCCTTTCCTACTTCATGATAGGGGTTTCCCTTAAAGACAGACATACCGGTTACTCTGAAAACGCATTAGCTTAAAACTACCTGTCCATTCATTGAGAAGTTCACTACAAAAAAAAGGGAGTTTCCTCTCCAGATTATTTTTTTAAGTTACGCAGTTATCAATAGATAGCACATTTGGACTTGTCAGAGATAACTTTAGCCTCCGAGAAGAGGAGATACTGGTTTGTCAGACTCCCTAAGATAGCTCTGGCTGTTCAATCCCGTGGAAGCCAGGGAGTTAAAAGTATCTGTTGGGACAGGGGCCACGTGTAAAAGCTGGCATTTAGTCAAGAGTATTTCTGATAGGAAAGCAAATTGTTTTCCTTTCTTTATCTGCAGGTACAGCGCCTACACCTATGTATATTTCCTTCTTACATTTACATTTGAGTCACAATGTGCACATTCATGGTGCAATAAGAAGACATGACTAACGCACACTGCAAGCCTACCTAAAGCTTGCTTTAGTCTTAGTAGGTCAGGAATGACACCAGGAAAGACACCAGGGCCTATGTGATGCAAAACAGTGCTACAGAGCCTACCCCTCGTCTGCTACTGTGTCTTACTGTGGTTCTTACACACAGCCAGACGCATGTAACCCCTTCCTCTTTGGTGTTCTCGTAGGAACAAAGTCATCTGGGTGGGTATATTTTCCCAGATAGGAATTGCTGTGATTCTTACCTATGGTCTTGGCCACGTTACAGCCCTGAACTTCACACCGCTGAGGTGAGTTTTGATGCCAGTGTACTTCCCTTCTAGCAGAAACAGACAAATGGGAGCAGGACGTCCATGTAATTCAAGGATACATAGTTAAGAATATTCATTATGAAGAACAGGGTGGACAATTTATTGACTAAAAATGGCATTATTTTCATGGTTTCCACAAAAAAGCACTACTTTTTCTACTAGATTTACTACTATGGGTCCAGAAACCTACTTGTGTAGAGCAAACATTTTAATATTTTTTCCGGGATCCACAATATTTTGGTGAGATCAGACAGTATTCTACTTAATCTTATGCAAGCAACTTTTATTTTAAATATATCACTGTCAGAGATGTTCCAGTTTTCTGCCATCTTCAGAGACTGTAAAACCACTGGGCAGCATTTCCTTCTGAATAGTGGAATATGGAATAAACTAATTCAGTAACTACTTAAGATTGGGAGGTTTATGTCCACATCATCTTATCTGTTACCGCTGGAGTGCTTAAATTAAGATAAAATAGAAGCCAAAAAGGCCAAACCCTCTTTCAGTGACATCAAATAGCATAGACAGAGAGCCCAGAAATTCAGCTGAGTGTTTGGATGCTTCTGAATGAAAACTCCTTGACCCACTCCAGGTTTCAGTACTGGTTTGTGGCTGTACCGTTTGCCATCTTGATATGGGTTTACGATGAAGTCCGCAAGCTGCTTATCAGGAGATACCCAGGAAGTAAGTAGATTCTTCTAGTTTAGAATTTTAATATAAGGTGCCCTTTCCTACCCCTTCACTCATACCCTTACCTTAGCTGCTTAAAAACGGACCATTTGTTTGCAATTATTACTTTCTCTGTTTGAAGAAATAAAGAACTGATTTTTCCCTCCTCTCCCTTCTCCTGCTGCAGGTTGGTGGGACAAGAACATGTATTATTGAAACAGTCCTTATCACTGGTCCTCCTCCTTGTGGAGAACTTCTTCCCCACCTGACACAGCCTCTGCTGCTTTAAAGTCCTGTCTGTGCAATATCAAGCATGGGTTCGCCCCGTGAAGGGGTGAAGAAATTTCATGAATTTCAGGAAGAAACAAGGACTTTAGAGGTTGATGAATTACCTCTCGCTGTACTGTAAAGCTGACACGTCTAGAAATTGAAATGCTACCTATTTTTGTAACAAGCACAATTTTCCCTCATTCAAAGATGAGCTTGGTGAGCACTCTGAGAGGAAAACACACAGAAAAGAAAAAAAAGACAGAAAATCCATATAATCTAAGGCATTAATTTGCACTAAAGATGTTGTTTGCAGATGTTTTGTTGGTGGAACTGAATTCCAAGTGAGTGCATATATAGATCTGTATTACCTTACCAAGGGTAAATATGCTGTATAAGAATAATTTGATAATAAAACTTTTTCCAGAAAACAGTTGTCCATCTTGTTTTCTTATAAAGACTAAAAGAAACCAAGAGGGACAGGAAAACCTAACATCTGCCAGATCAAAGAGGAAAGAAGCGCATACCTGCTTTTTTTTGCTCTTGTTAACAGACAAACACACTGCAAGTGTCTTTAGGTTTGATAAAAACATCTTGAAAGGAAGGCACAATGAGTTGATTTGAAGATAGAACATTCAATACTCCCTGTCCAAGGCCACAACCTCTATGAAAAAATACACCTTAGTAATGTGTTAAATAGATACAGTTAAAGTTCTGTTTGAAACCAGGTCTTTAATACGGTCGTTTTAGCAAGAAACTGTAGGTACCACATCTTGTTTAGACAAAGGCTTTACCAATTTTAAAGCAAAAAATAAATAATGTGTGTTGCTATTTCACATTTAAATACAAGTCTAGATGAGCTTTAGAGAAGAAACAGGGGCAGAAAGGGAACTCCTGTTGTAGCAAACAGCAAGAGGGATTACCAATGAGAAAGAAACCAAGAGAAGAACTGAGGAAGCGGAAAGAGAGGAGTGTTTTCCAGCCTAAAGCCTGCCTGTTCCCAAAAGTCCACACCCTTGTGTGCTGGAAGCGACCTTGCATTTTGTGATCCTCCCTCCTCGAAACTCCTCTCCTTAATACCTGGCTGGGTATTACACTATGCATCAATTACACTGGATATCAGTGTTTTTCACATATAGACATGAAGAAGAGGAATTACAAAGGAAGAAGGAAGAGCGACAAAAAATAAGCATGTAAACGATGGGCGAGTCCAAATTCCAGATTTATGTGCTGCTTATCATTTGGTAATGCAATCCTGTCACACACCGACAACAAGTATGCGAGGTGCCAAGCTGACTCACTTCAACACCTTGTCATTTGTCAGCAGTCAGGGCTGATTCGCTTTGTCTTCTGCTTAAAAGACAGGAAAAATATGAGGAGAAGCTGTATGGGCGAGCAATATAACCCACTTTTCACTGTCTATAGATTTGAGTCCTTAGCCAAAACGACACAGTCAAATATAGATAGGAAGAGCAAAGAAGAAGGGGAAGCAGTTTTCACACAACGTGGGGGCAGTTACCGCACAGAACCAGGAGGGAATATAGCTACACTTGTTTTACTTCAAAAACAAAATACTTCTTCTTGAAAAAACTTGTGGGAAAGATAACTGGCAGGTTGTTCACTCACAGAATACACAAGGGACTAAAAGCACTGAGAAATGCAGTGGTTGCTCTGCAAAACAATCTGAAGAGAGACCAAACCAACAACAAATTCTTAAAAGAAGAAAGTGCTCTTGTTGTCCTTTAACTCCTGGTAGTTATGATCCCATAAACACATCACTGAAAGAACAGGAGAGCACTATTTCTGGTTACATTCACAGACAATGCATCACTTTGCTGCTAATGCAAATCAAAAACACTCTCTTGAAATTGTATACACGGGATCCCACAACAAAACCAAAGCAAAAGAGACAACAGAACCACAGAGCTACAGAAGAGGAATTTGCCAGGATTTCAAGGCCAAGTGACGGTGCTACAACTGTAACTAATCTGGCTTCTGCGTTATTTTTCTAGGAACATTCTTTTTTTGCTGTGTCACAAACCATTCAGGCTTCATCTGACAAGTGCACCCTCCCCAGTATCAGAATGAGCTTTGACACATGGAGGTCTTTGGCTTGAAGAGGAGTCAAACGATGAAATCAGGAGGAAACAAAGTGATGCAAGCTGGAGAAAACTGAACAGCAGAGCATAAAGAAAAAAGTTCTGAGAGGAAAACTTCAAAGATGGATGTGATGCATCCATTTTAGCATCAACATATGCTCCTGAGAGAAGAGCAAAAGAATTCTGCCATAGTAATATCTGGAAAATTAGCAAATGTTTGTCTCTATGTCTCCTCCGTGCAAAAGTGAGTGGGGAGGAATTGCAGTATCACATTTCCCACATGTATAATCATTTTAGGGAAAAAAAAGGCACCTAGAAGATCAGTTACAGAAAGGAAAACAAAGCAGCTGATGGTCAGGAGCAAAAACCTCACAATCAGCAAATGATTCTGCAACAGTCTGCTCTCGTACCTGTAGGATCAGTTTTGCTTTCAACAAGAGCTGCCAACAAATGCTCCTTTGCGTTTCAAACGTTACTTCAGTCCAAAGCCCCTTCAGAGGCACAGGAGTACGCAACGTAACCACTCCATAGTTTGGCTGTGTGAGACTCCATCATAGCTACATTTTCTTTGAGAGGACAAGATGTACTTTGCAATCTGTTTTACTGTGCTCGAGCAGAAAGTCCAAATCAGAGATTTGCAAAGCAACTGAAAAGACAAGTTAAGAAATCAGAAGATTAACATCATTTCCAAAAGTGGCAAAGCCCGTGAATGCCTAAAGCCAGATTCACTGTTTCCAAGTCTGAGAGACTTTCCAGTATTACAAAAGATCTCAAAACCATTAAGGCAGAACAGACAAACAGGCCATAGGTGTGGAAAGAATGAATCCTACATGTGCTCCCTGGCATGCATGATGTTTGTTAGAACTGGTAAGTCTGGGAATTACTGCACAGGACAAGACAGGTCATTGCACAACAGCACGTGCGGGAAACAGCGGCTGGGACCTCCCAGTCCAGTACAACCGTTCTGCGTTGACATCTAAGGCATGAGGTTATGGGATCTGATGCAAGCAAATGTGGAACTGTCCTCAAACACGGGCCTCGTTTAACCCAATAAACTCAGAGAACATTGCTGTACCCATCAAACAATTCATAAAGCAAAGTGCAAAGAAGGTGGTACGATCCAGTTGCAAACTGAAGCACCTCAACCACACACACGGGCATCTTCCCTCCAATCTCACAAGGGGTTTTTACGTGGCAGTACCACACATCAATTCTTACACCGAGTGCTACATCATTTATTACATTTCACCTGTTTTGTAACCCACTTGTAAGCAGGTTAAAGACACTCACCATGGCATCTTCGTGTTCCAGTGGCTCCCAAATAAAAGATGTTCTAGACATTCAGTTAAATTCCAAAGATACAGTTCCTCCACGCAGTTTCTATCAATTCCTTTAGTCAGTTCTGCAGCCTCAACAGAATGAACATTGCTCTCCCTCAATCAGTTGCAATAACTCAAAGATACGCAATGCAGAGAAGCAGATTTTGAACTGTAAGTTAATATACCTTCAAGCAGACTCTTTTCTTTTCTGCTTCCAAATATGTTCCAGGCATGCCAAGAGTTAACTTACCAGCTCATAAACCGAGAAACCTTTCTTCAACACAAAACTGTGCTTTCTTGCTCCAGCCTCAGCCAGACTAGACAGGTCAGATGTCCCTACTGATTACACTGAACTTCACAGCTTTCCTTTACCTCCTTTTTCTTCTTTTAACAGTGGCTTCTTTGCCCAGTTTTCTCTAGTTTAAACTAGCTCTCACCATCTTCCCCTCCTACCTCCAAAAAACCTGAGCACCTTTCCCCTTTCCTCTACTATGTCACTAGACAATTCCTGCACTCTGGTCAAGAGGCAAGCAAGAGGAAAAGGGAGAGTTGGCTTAAGGCAAAGTGCTACTCTGCAGCAAAGGAGAAAGGGAGAATTTAAGGATGGCAAGAACTGCTGCGCAATGCACTAGGTAAGAAGCTATGTAGGCAAGGAAATTGTACAGGTTTCTCTGCTGGGAGGTCTGCTCTTGGCTCTGTTAGTACATTGCTCAAAAATTTATGCAGAAAAAGACTTCACACAGATTTTGAACAAGTCAGTTACGAGCAATTTATTTGGGGGTTAGTCAAGCTTCAAGACGATAACAAATAACAATAGCTATCTTCTACCATAACTGCGTAAGAGCTAAAGCCCTTACGTGTGGCAGGGTCTGAATTTTCTCTTATGCTCAAGTACAAAATTGATACTGGCAGTAGCAGAAGAGACACGGGTTATATCCATGTGTAGTATGTACACTGTACAGTGACAACCGTATGTAGAGCACATTCCCTTCCCTGTAAATGAGTTCTGTGGACCTCATGTAGGATATCAATCCCCTCTCAAAATGATTAACAACTGGGAATTCTCAGTATTACACTTTTAACCACATAATATGATGCAAGAGTTGAAGAATTGTTTGAGAAAGCTTATGATGTTGAGACTTTGGTGACGACTGGAGGGATACAGCGGAGATTTGTATTCTCTGAGGTGGGAGAGTGCCTTCACTGTCATTAACTCATGGGCAGGTCCACGTTTTGAAACACAAACTGTAGCCAAACTGCACAGTGAAAATTGTTCTTCTTACCTTTTCTGGCAGCACCGCCTCGAGTGCGAGGAATCTCTTCAGCAGATACTGCTGGCCCACGTGTATCTTCACTAGAAGAGGAAGGAAAACCAGAAATCAATCTTACAAACATTTGCAGACAACTGCTGCTCTCACTACAGTGTCAACACTTACTGAAAATAGAAATAACCACAACGAAGCTCAAATGACACACCCAACTCGCAGACCTTTTAATTCAAGGGATTACTGCTGGTGCACCACCACACAAAGAACCCTGGGCTGGCTGCTCATGAGGGCAGCAAATTCTCAAGGGCCTTACTGCAGATCTGTGCTGCAGCAAAGTAAATTCATGTACACATGCATGTAAACCACAAGGAGATAGACAACACTGCATTCACAGAGTATGATTATGGTGCCACTCCTGGGCTTTGACAGAGTCTCAGAAACTTCTTTAGCATTACACAGTCTAGGGCATCCTAATTTACAGAGACCCCCAACGATTTGTTCTAGCCTCATCTTCTGACAAAAACTCTCAGATATTGTTCTGGCTGTATTAATTTCTTCTGCTAATTGAGATGTTCACAGAGGAAAACCACCTTCTCCTAAGTCATGCCCTATTACATCTGCTTTAACCAGGTCATTTCATGAACATTTACCAAAACATTATTTTGCAATGACTGACAAACTAGTCCAGACTCACCAGTGTGAAAGACCCCCTGGGAGCAGATATTTCCTCGCAGCACTGCTCACCCT